CAACCCGGAGCCTCCTGAGCTACCATTACCAACGCCACAACCAACCTCCACACCTCGGGCTCCCGAGGTAAATCCGACCGGCGCCCCGGAACCGCGCCGCTCCACCAGGACACGGCAACCCCCAGCGTACCTACAGGACTTCGTGTGTGGGTAGTCTGGACTATGGGGGGAGGGGTGTAATGTATCCGCCATTACCACGTGCGCGACCGTTGGGCCATGCGGTCAAGCACAAGCCCCAAGCTTCGTTCCTGAAGAACAATAGCGGAGCGGATCCTAGCCCGCACCAACCAGAGGGCCAGGTCCGCGGCCGAGAGCCAATGGGACTCTCGGCCACTGTAAATAACCTATAGGGTCACTAGGGGGTGTGTTTGGTGGTGGGCTTTCTGGGCATATATACCGGCCTGCGTGCCGGGGTGTTTTTGTCTTGTTCTTCACTAATAAAAGTACTTTGCTGAAATCACTCCACGTTTCTGAGTACTTTTCAGAAACAGTGCTGCCTTTAGAATAGCCGACTGATGCAGCTTTTTAGTCAGTTTGGGAAAACCTTCCTGTAAGCTGCCTGAATTATGGATTGTCTGTGTGTGCAAAGGGGTGTCAAGTTGCAACCGACTGGTGGTGACCCCAGCAGGGGGCTTTCAAGCCAAGTGAGAAGCAGAGGTGGCTCGCACGTTGCGTCCACTTGCAGAGTTTTCCTTGGTGGTCTCCTTTCCAAGTACTGACCCTGCTTAGCTTCTGAGATCTGATAAGATCAGGCTATGCCATGCTATTTTCCCTCCCCACGGATTGTCTACAGCCATCTAAATCTGAGTTTTCAAAATGATAACACTGATCATAGAATCATAGAATGTTAGAGTTGGAAGGGATCTTGCAGGTCATCTAGTCCAACCCCCTGCACTCTGCAGGAGCATAGCCAAAAGATAACCCTACATACCTACAACATGCCTGAAAGATGGTCGTCCAGCCTCCGCTTGAAAACGTCCACTGCTTTGGTAGTTAATTGATTTAATTACAGGTATTAGTCATGTGATTCTTTCTGCTCTTTCAGTTCTAAGCAAAGTTACACCCCTCTAAGCCCATTAACTTCAATGAATTTAGAAGGGTATAACTCCACTTAAGACTAAACTGTAGGTGTGTGAAACCCCTACTGATTTCAGTGGGGTTGATTTCAACCCTAAGCTTCCTTCTTAGGATGTGACAAGTCCAATCAGCTCGGTAGGACTTGGTTCCTAGTAAACATGAATGTATGTGACTGCATGTATCCTTAACTTTCTCTTAAGTCCAGTTGATTTCAATGGAATGTATAAACTTTGGGCTGGGATAAACACCAATTCATTTGAAATGTGGTGTTGGAGGAGAGTTTTATGGATACTGTGGACTGCCAAAAAGACAAATAGTTTGGTCTCATCATGAGCAGACAAGAGTCACTGGAAAGGACAATAATGTTAGGAAAAGTCGAAGGCAGCAAGAAATGAGGAAAACCCAATATGAGATGGATTGATTCAATGAAGAAAGCCAAAGCTCTCAGTTTGCAAGACCTAAGGCTGTTAAAGATAAAACGTTTTGGAGGACATTATTTCATAGGGTTGCCATAAGTTGGAAGCGACAACACCACTTAACATACACATACAAATGCCCATCCAAGTGTCACTGAAATAAAATGGAATTTGTGTGTTTAACCTGCTCTGGATTGTGCCCATAGTTCTGAGATTCAGTGAAAAGTAACTGCAGAAACACCGTCATTTATGATGGCTGTTGACTTCAGAGCAGGACTCTAAAGAAGTGGCACAGAAGTATCCTAAATAAATAATTCCCTTTGAAAGTGGTATTTTAAAAAATATTCTTTGACATATGTATTGTATATTTTTCTAGTTCCCACTAATGTGAAACAATAGCAATTGTTTTTATCCAAAATAATTCTACAGATAAAGTTTTCCATCACTTGAAAGTCATCTAAATTTTATCTTATTTCCTTTTTCTTAAAATAGTTGTCATAATCTCTGGTTCTTACCTCACACGTGCTATGATTAAACATTTTTGTTTCCTGACTTTTCCTAACCTCTTGGGGAGATGGTAGTTGCAGATGAATGTTTGGATTTAGGGGCAAAGCAGTATCTGTCTCATTATTAGTGCTTCTCTTCCCTTGGACATGAAGTTTATCTTATTTTGTCTGCTTCCTGTTTTTAGCCTATCCAAAGCAGCTTTTGTGAGGTGTGTACTGCTGGTAGACTGGAAGGTAGGGCATAGGAATGCTTTTCCCCTCTAAGGTGGCTTCCTTATACTGTCACCTTCATTTGAATTGATAATTTGCCTTGAAGATTGCACCTAATATAACCCCCATCCTTCCTAGTCTTAAATAATTGGTGCAGTTAGCTTGCTAAATTCCTTGTAAGTGTTCTGAGGTAAATATACTGAACAACCTGACTCCTAGATTAAGCAGTCACTGCCTTTTTAATGTTTGTTAAAGAGAGAAATTCACAAAGCTGGTTATATCGCCCTCTGGCATAGAAATCAGTAAACCCTTCTTATCTTTCTCTGCCCAACAACCTATTCATACTTGACAAGAGAGTGGTGTGGGTTTGTGACTGCAACATGAAATATTTGCTGTTTGGTAATCCTAGCTTTGATAGGGCTTTATCTTGGCCAACTACCTACCTTGGCATTATCTCCCCCCCTTATGTAACTATTGCACAGCATTATGGCTGAACAGTATGAATGGGATTTCATAATAACAGCTTGTGTTCAACTGGATTTCCTTCAGTGTGTCTGGGTGACCTCCTTGAAAGATGTTTCTTCACCGCACTGAGAGCCTGGCTACCAAGTTAGTAGGGATTGGTTTTCTTGTGACAAGATACTTGAACAGAAACAAACAAATCATTCCTTGAGTGTTATCGCTGCTTAACTTCTAGTAGTAACTAATGGTCTCTGTTTCTTTCCTCTAGACTGTGGGGTTGTGTCTCTTGCTATGATGCCAGGGCAGATTCCAGACCCATCCCTGACAGCTGGCGCTCTGCCTGGCCTTGGCCCCTTGACGGGACTACCTGGTACCACCTTGACAGCAGAAGAGCTCAAGTATGCTGATATTCGCAACATTGGAGCCATGATCTCACCACTACATTTCCTGGAAGTGAAACTGGGGAAAAGGCCTCAGCCAGTGAAAAGTGAGGTGAGTTCCAAGAAGATGTTGCCAAGCGCCAGCTGTTTCTGTAGAATGTTGCCTCCAGCTCTCCATAAGCAGCGATGTTTGCAGACTTTTTTTCCTACTGATATATCAGTCTAAGAATGATCCACCAAGCCAGCTTCTATGAACCATAACTAAGCAGGTGAAATTGTAGGCACAGTTTTAAACAAACATGGCTACTGATTTTGAGGGGGCTCACCTTTAGATGCATATAGCTGTGATGATGTGTTGCCAAGACTGATGTGCCTCCATTTGTTGGCATCTCTCCTTACCATTTTGCCAACACTTGGTCAGACTTCCTTTGCCAGATGCGGAAGCCTCTTCCAGATTTTACAGAAATCTCCAGAGTAGAGGTGGGCTGATGAAAAGAATTTCAATCCTTGGCAGGATTGCGTCTGAGCCCCCTGTAACAATGGCTGGCTAATCAAAGAAAGAGCTAAGGTATGCAGGACCTTTAGAAGAAGCAAACCCCGGGAAGCAAACCCAGCACAGCAAGACCAAGGCACCATGGCTGTTTTATTGTATATTTGGACCTAAGCAAAGCTATAGTCTAGGAAAAGGCTGCCTTCATTCCCTTCATACCAAGGATTCTTTCACAGCCGGTTCTTGTGTGAATGGACCAGTCAAGCCGCTTTCACATCTCTAGTCCCTCTCTTCCTTCTCCGGTTGGGCGAGTGGCACATCCACCTTGCCCTCCCTCCTGATCCAGTCAGTAGTACTGATTCTGATTTCTTCACTCATCCTGGCAAGTCTGCCAAAGTTAACTTTTATTTTGCGATTGTGCTCAGTCTCCATAGCTGAGCCCCCATCCTTAAACTCACACATACTGTCAACTTGCACACACAGGCCCCTTTGCACATGCTCCCACTCACTTCCTCGCCTCCTGTCTTTGTGCCCTGGGTTTTGACATTGTGATCAGACCCAGCCTCATTCCCCAGTGCTTGGAACTGCTGCTGGATCTTCTGTTCTCTCTGATAATTCCGATTTTTTTACAGCCTCTGTTTTTCTTTCTAAGCCTGCTTTGGAACTTTTCATTTCAATCCGAAACCTGTGGGCACACCATGTTCATTCCCCTCTCTTTGGGCCTCACTCTGAGTCCTGTTCAAATGTGCTGCCCTGTCCACAAGTCCATTTGGTAACAGGTGCTGCTGTGCGTGAGTTTCATCCTAAGGCCAAACTATAACAGCAAGGTAGATGTGTGATCAGATCTCTCCCGTCACATATAGGTTGGCCCTTAGATTAGGGACAACTGTGGTGTACCTAATAAGTGACAGTATCAGCTGCTGTGAGGGTCTTACCCTCCAGTCCAAAAGACAGTGAAAATTGTAGTAAAGCCTTTTCTATGGCCTATTCCTATGGCAGTGTTCAAGTATTCCATCACAGCAATGGTTAAATGGGTAACAATGAATGTACATAGATTCAGGTGGGTAGCCGTGTTGGTCTGAAGCAGTAGAACAAATTTTAAGTCCAGTGGCACCTTTAAGACCAACAAAGTTTTATTCAAGGCATAAGCTTTTGTATGCACGCACACTTTTTCAGATACTTCAAAATGGCAGTCATCAGTCCATACATATAGGTAGAGGGTGAACAGCAAATTAGCATACAACATAATGAAGATGTTTTAACAGATGCAAGATCCAGACAGGAATAACAAGCTAAGTTTATATGGTCACCATTTGTTTGGATTTAATTCCGGGGGGGAAACACAGTGAAACAAATATGTCAAAATTGGAGACTGATGTGTAAATGCATCCTTCTTAATTGTGGGATGCTAAGCATAATTAACGGAGTCCCTGTTGTTACTCTCCAGCCATCTCCATCTTGCTGTTCACCCTCTACCTATATGTATGGATTGATGACTTCCATTTCAATATATCTGAGAAAGTGTGCATGCACACGGAAGTTCATACCTTGAGTAAAACTTTGTTGGTCTTAAAGGTGCCGCCGGACTCAAACTTTGTTCCAGTGAATGTACATATTTACATATGTGAAATTACTTGCTGGTTTAGAGAAGGTATTCACAAAAGAACCCATTTGAATATGATGCAGCTTAGGAGAAGACACAGTAGTGGAGCTAAGGGCCTATTTTTGGAAACTGCCAAGACAACAGGCAGGGAGTTGAGAGCTGAGTGCCCGGTATGTTGTCAGTTTGTGTGAAAGCCAATTTAAAAGTGGTGATGACGGAAGAAATTCCTGAAAGGTGTTTGTAAAGGTCCTTTAATATCACTTAGCTTTAGGTCCTGTAGGTTTCAAACTCCTACAAGCATTTCCTCTGAGAATTCTGAAATGCGAGAGCTGGTTTCTTTTCCTTCTCCTGCCTAAATGCACCTGAGGGAGAAGGAATATTTCTACAGCTATAATTCTATATAAATCAATAGATTAATCAAGTCCAGGTTAGTCAGAGAGATCTAGTGTAGAGGCCAGGCTGGAAGTCTCTGCTTTATTCCTTCTGTGAACTTACTTAGATAGCCTTAGCTAAGGTGGCATTCCCTCAGGCTCAGCTCTGCTCTCAGGCCTCACAGTAGGGGAGGGATAATTATCATAGCTGCAGAGATAATGAGTGTGAAGCACTCTGAACACTCAATATATAAGTGTAAAGTAAGGCTCCTACTCAAGATCCCCTCCTTTGATCAATGAGTAGGGCTGAGATTGTTGTGCCATTGTTCAGGCTGTGTGGGCTCCTTCCTCACATAGTGAGAGAAAATATTATAGGTGACCTTACTGGAAGCTTTAAAAAAAATTATTATTTTGCACTTAAGAGAACCAATATGCCCCTTTCATTATCCTTCAAAAAGCACACATATTTATAGCATTTGGTAAATACACAGTTTCATTCAAATATAAAGGATGAACTTTGATTTTAATCCAATAAAGTAATAAAACTTTAAAAAGTTCTCTTGACAGCCTTAATCCCAAGGGGGGGGGTCTTTATCCTAAGGAGTCTTGTTCTGGTCCAGAGAAAACACTTAAGAGCGCAGTGTGCTTGTCCAGAAAGGGATGCAGAGACCCATGGTCAGTGGATGCCATTCAGGAAGTCCAGACTGGACTGCTGGAGAAGAAAATACATTCTGTAAGAACCAAAAGGGAAGGGCCGTGTCCCAGTGGTAGAGGATCTGCTTTATATTGCAGAAGGTCCTAGGTTCAATCCGTGGGATCTCCGTTAAACGGGATCAGGTAGTCGCTGATGTGGCCCTGGCGTGGATGGCCCAAGCTAGCCCTCTCTCGGAAGCTAAGCAGGGTTGGCCCTGGCTAGTACTTGGATTCAGAAGTCCCGGGTTGCTAGGCAGTGGCAGGCAATGGCAAGCCACCTCTATTTGTCTTTTGCCTCGGAAACTCTATGGGGTTGCCATAAATTGGCTGAGCCTTCCACCACAATAGCTGATGTGAAAGACCCCCAGCCTGAGACCCTGGAGAGCTGCTGCCAGTCAGAGTAGACAATACCGTCCTTGATGGACCAGAGATCTGAGTCAGTGTAAGGCAGCTTCGTATGTACCATGTAATCAACAGATGCGTATACTCAGGTTTATGATTTAGACCAAGAAAGCAGATTAATCTGATTTTTCCTTAATTTTTTATTGTAAAACTGATTCCTGCAGAGGTTGAGTATTTGGTGGTCCTCTCTGCATTTGCACACACTTTAAGCATTGATTTGGGATACCATGAGTATTGAACACAGGGACCGTCTAACAATTTTTGGAATCATCCAACATTTGCATCAACAACAACAAAAAATGTTTGCTAGTAATCAAATTGGTGTGAGTTCATAAAAGCATGCTTGTTCTTCATCTGCAGTGCAGTCCAAAGCAGAGTTACACTCTGCTAAGTCCATTGAAGTCAGTGGGCTTAGAAGGGTGCAGCTCTGTTGGGGACTGCACTATTAATGTTTACATTCCAGAAAGTTGAAACCAAATCCAAGCTCAGCAGTCCGTGAGATCTGTGCAGCAAAGCCCATGAGGAAAAGTAAGTGCAAAAGGCAGAAAGGGAAGCTGTTGGCTTCCTTTCTGTCTGGGTGTAACAACGTGGTTGTTTGTCTCTCTCTTCAGCTAGACGAAGAAGAGGAAAGGAGGAAAAGGCGCCGAGAAAAGAATAAAGTAGCTGCGGCTCGGTGTCGGAATAAAAAGAAGGAGAGGACAGAGTTCCTGCAGCGAGTGAGTACCTCAGGCTGGGAGCTGTTGTTTCACCACAGCTTCATGCTCTTGCGCCACACACGCTCAGCCTCACAGCGTGCAGCTCCCCCCAAAGATTAGATGTGGCGTGACAGATTCCACAACTTTAATGCAGAGACTTAGTTGAAGAAAATGCCCCACATGTTCCTAATGGTGACCTCTTGGGGTGGGTTGTGCTTATGTGACTAGAAATGGCCCCCTCAGAGCTTCAGCAAGTGAACTTGTCTTCAAGATGAGTAGCTGTGTTAGACTGTCTGTAGCAGTAGAAAAGGGCGAGAGTCCAGTAGCACCTTAAGGACTCTTTTTCTACTGAGCTTGTCTTGTTAGGCATGTGGGTGGCCCTTTGTGTAGCTCCTCTGTTAAAATGTAGCTGAAGAAGTATGGTTCCACTTGGAAGTCCCCACGGGGGTCCTCCTCCTCTGTGTGTTGTGTGAATGTGTCACCACTTGGCATTAACAAGGGAGCTTGGCTCTTTCCCCCCTCCCCCTTTTGTGGGACTGAGTGATGGCATGACGTCTTCCGGGGCTCTGTGAACTCCTGAAGCTGCTCTGTTCAGAGGTCAAATCATTGGGCTCTCTGACTGTCAGCAGCTCTGCAGGGTCTGAGGCTGAGGTCTTTCACATCATCTGCTGTCTGATCTTTTTAGCTGGAGGTGCCAGGGGGACTGAACCTGGGACCTTCCGCGTGCCAAGCAGAGGCTCTGCCACTGAGCCGCAGTCCCTCCTGTGGAGCCACCCCTGTGGATCGTGCCACTTAATTCTTCCTGTTTCTTTGGTCCTGCTTAGGAATCTGAGCGCCTGGAGCTCATGAATGCTGAGCTGAAAGCCCAGATAGAGGAGCTGA